TTAGTTGCAAGTTAACGCCCTAAACCGCAGAATTTTTGTACCAAAAGTATACTTGGCCCATAAAAATCTGTGGCACTCCTTCTGCCGCCCTTCTGGCCATATGGACATTAACCTGTCAACGTGGCCAAGTTTGCAACACATTTAGTGGCCAGGCCCGAAGGCGCAAGTTCAAGCTAAGGTAACTAAGGGCACTGAGAAAAATATTTAGATATTTTAAGGGGATATTTTCATTATTAATTTGGGATTTTATTTAAAGAAAGATATAGTTATTATACAATTTAATTTATTTGTAAGATATTTCTATAAATGTATAACCAGTATATAGTATAGCCTAGGAAATATTACTTTATATTTTCATAAAATATATTTTTTTTATAAAAATTTAAACTTATATCCCTCCTCTAACATTTACCACTATATTTCCTTAACCTTCTCGTAAAATAAATAACAAATTTCAGTGCACCATAACGCCAAGTCATTCCATCGCGACTCTAATCTATAAGCAGTAATCAAATTTCAGCTCGCAGCTACCAACTTGCAGCGCGTACGTGGCTGCCGCAGCCCGTAATTATGCAACACATGTTCAGTGCAACAATTGGCCATAATTTAGTCAAAGGTAATTGAGTAAGCCCCGACGACTAACGCCAGCTCCCGGGTCCGCTCTATCATTATATGCGGTCGCTCGGTCCCCAAACTGAGCGAAAAGAAAAGACCGAGACGGAGACGGAGATGGGAGAGGCCCTCCCTCCCTCCGCATCGCGGTATATTGTACGCACAGTAGTCAGTAGTCAGCGAGGTACAGGCCAACCTTGATTGACGACCACAATTGGGGATTGAGTGATGGAATTATCCGAGGCCCGCGGGGTGGTGCATCCGAGGTGGTGGCTGCCACTGGGCGCCTGACAGCCTGCCAGCCAAGCGGCTGCCTTGTTTATTTATTTCTAGTTAGTCGCATTAACTCGCTGGACTGTTATTTAATTGTATGGAGCGATTGGATGAGCATCAACCATATACCTTGGTTAATGTGCACTGGGAGAAACAACATATAGATATTTTTATACCCTTGCAGGGTATTATAATTTCAGTCAGAAGTTTGCAACGCAGTGAAGGAGACGTTTCCGACCCTATAAAGTATATATATTCTTGATCAGCATCAACAGCCGAGTCGATCTAGCCATGTCCGTCTGTCCGTCTGTCCGTCTGTCCGTCTGTCCGTCCGTCTGTCCGTCCGTCTGTCCGTTTCTACGCAAACTAGTCTCTCAATTTTAAAGCTATCTGAATGAAACTTTGCATGTAGTCTTCTATATACTCTCACTGCTATATATGTCAGAACGGGCCGGATCGGACGACTATATCATATAGCTCCCATACAAATGATCGATAAATTTTTAGAAAAAAAATTATAACTTGGCTGTTTATCAACATTTTTGCACCATTTTTTAGATATGGCCATTTTATATTATTTCAGAATTTCGGTAAAAAATTCATGAAAATCGGACGACTATATCTTATAGCTGCCATAGGAACGATCGGGAAATTAATAGAAAAAACATTATAACTTCGTTGTTTTTCAACCTATTTTTATCTACTCTGAGATATAAGCTTATTTTATTAGTTCAGAATTTTGGTATAAATTTTATAAAAATCGGACAACTATATCATATAGCTGCCATACAAACCGATCGGTAGATGTAGAGAAAATGTAAAACTGGGAATGTAAAACTGTAACTGTCAAACTCTAAACAATAAGTATAGGTAAAATTTAATGAAATAATATCTGCAAGGGTATACAAACTTCGGCGTGCCGAAGTTAGCTTCCTTTCTTGTTAAATATCATAAATATTTATATAAATATATTTATATAATAGAATATATTTAAATTATATATAGGTAGTTTCAGAACACATTAAACAATGTTTTGTATTTATAAAGTAACATATTCTTGATCAGCATCATCAGCATCAACAGCCGAGCCGATCTAGCCATGTCCGGGTGTCCGTCTGTCCGTTTCTACGCAAACTAGTCCCTCAGTTTTAAAGCTATCCGAATGAAACTTTGCATATAGTTTTTTTTTATATTTTTAAACTTTAAAAAATATTTAAAAATTCGAGAAATTTCCACAGTGCACCTCTCAACTTATATGTGTAAAATTCCGAATGCCGCTTCGTATCCTTTCCTCCATAATAGCTCCTCCGGTTAATGATTGCAGTCAATGTGAGCTAAGCGCTTGGCTATCTGGTATCAAGGAAGATAGAAATTGTTGTTTAATTTGCGGAAATTGCTGGCAAAGTGGCCGCACAACAGCCACAACTTTAGTTCAACAACAAAAATCCAACAAAAAGAGAAGGTTAAGGAGAGATGAAACGTACTGAAATATGTGCCATATTCAGGTGCAATTATTTTGCATTTCCGCCTGCCAACCCAGCAAAAAATATAAGAAAAAACAAAACTATACAAAAACCACCCACACAGAAACGCCTTGTAGACCCGCCTTCTAATAATGGCTCGGTATCTGCTATATAGTATCTACTATCTGTATAACCTTGCGCCGATTTCTCAAACAAACACATTTCTGAGCAATTTGGCTTTTGCAATTTTTCCGCCACAAAAATTATAAATTAAGTACTAATTACATGGAAATAACAACAACGAGGCAGCGAGAAATCGTTGGAAAATCAAACGGAGCCGCATTTAATGTTCAACTGCGGACACGCCCCCATACCACAATGTGCCCAATGTGTGGGCGTTGCACTAATGAACATACAGAAATCGAGAAAAAATGGAAATATCGAAACATTTTTGTGTGTTACAAATGGAAAAAAGAGAGAGACACAACAGAGAACAGTGGGTATTAGAAAAAAATAGTATTGTACCTGAAAATAAAAGAATAAAGATATTTTTAGACATTTTAATAAATTTTTTAATTCATAAATAAGGGTTTTAAAAGCTTACAAAATTATAAAGAAACTAGTTTGTAAATAAAACATTTATTTCAAGTATTTCTATTTTTCTAGATTAATTTTCTAAAGAATATTTATTTTTTCTTTTAAACTTCACTCATGTTTTTTTAAATAGTTTTATTTCAATATTTTATATAAGTTATTTATCATTTACCCTTACTGTATCGCTTTGGTTGGATGCAACACTTGATTGGTCGTTGCATTTATTCGCTGTTGCTGTCTTGAATGGGTGATAAATTATTTCCCGCCATTTACATAAATGCTTTGAATGCATTAATTAAAGTCCAAAAGGCCCGGACTCCCTCCTGTTCTATCCAACCCAAGTCCCACCCCTTTGATCTAATCAATTGTTGTTTATTATTGGGCCAGGCCCATAGAGAAGCCATTACCATTACGATTAGCGAATTGGCCTTATACGTTTACAAGTATCAGAGTATCTTTTGTTCTCTCTTTCTGCATCTGAGAACTGAGATATATCGCATATATATAGATATATTTATGCATAAGTATGTTGGCCATTTTAAGTGGCTGCCGCCTAATTGTTCATAAAAGTCAACAGTCAATAGCTCTTTATGTTTGCGCTTGAAATTTATATTTATTTATTGTTATTTTTCAGCAGCTTCATAACTTTTTCGCCAGGCATTTTTGTGTGGCCTGCAGTAGCAGCAATGGAAATGATTTTTTGTCTTTTTTAAATTCCAAGGTCTTGCCATTCTTTACAATTAGCAACTGAATTTATGAGCGATTTCAATTTCAATGCGGTTCGTTTGTTGCCATTTCTGAGTTGGCTCTTGGCTGATCTCTCTCTCCTCCGCTTGTGGGCTAACGAGTTTGTGGCCAAAACCAAACAGAACTGCCAAACGAATGCAGTAAAAATTCAAGAACAACAATAGCACCCAGCAGCCGTAAATAACAAAGTCAAAGTCACTGACAGCATTTGAAGCAAATCAGAGCAAGGGGTTAATCCACAATGCGTTACGGCAATATATGTGACAGGGAAAATGTATAAAAAAAAAACAAGAAAAAATAATTAAAGTATTTTTTGACTATAATAGCCATAATACATTAAAATCGAAGCTATTAAGATTTCTATTTATTTAATTTTAGTTCAGAGCTATTTAGTTTATACAAAAAATCTATTTATGTACTTACCAAATTCCAAATTAAATAGTAACAAAATTTTTTAGTATAGTAAATAACTTATATATGCTAAAAAAAATCCCCTACAATCATCATCTAACATTTTTCTGGCTAACACAAAAAATTCCGCACTTATCAACTGTTAGATTTCAATTGAAATCACTCATTGGCACCTACAACATACCATCTGGCTGACATAATTCTCTTAGATCACCGCCCAGTTTAGCGCCCATTTAGCAGTCATGTAATTTTATTAACAATATCTCTATGACATTTAGCAATTGTTCGGTCACGTTAGAACAAACCGAAGCCAACCGCAAACAATTACGTTTAACTGGTCGTGGTCAAAGGGGCAATTTGGTAGATGCTGCGATAAGCCATACACTTGAAAGAAATTTTCTATAAAAAAAATAATATTTAAAAATTTAATAAAGCTGTTAATTTAAATGAGATTTCAGATCTGAATATGATATTAATTAGAAATCTTATTAATTGGAAAATAGTATTAATTAATTTAAAAAGAGTAGGAAGGCTTAGGTCAAGGCTATGAGAAGCGCAGAGAAAGGCAGCAGTAAGGTGGAGTAAAAGAGAGAGAGAGAGAGAGAGAGAGAGATGGAGATGGAGATGGAGAGAGAGTGCTCTTCTATGCGCTTCTCATAACAGGCACCTAAGCAGAAGGTTCGCATAGCCATTCCCTTGGAAAAGGAAACTAACCTATAGATTTATTTTGCTCTTTTATTTTTTCCCAGTGCACTTACCCCGTACCTATGTTTCCACTTAAACTTTAACTTATTGACAATGCAATGAAATTGTTTCCGATAGAGATCGTGACCAGGCCTTAAAACTGCATAGGTTTTGTTTCCCAAGCCTCAGTGTCCTTTTTTCTAGCTTGGCTTCATCATGTGTCACTTCCTGCTTTTGATAATACTTATCCTTGGATATGGAAGCGCCTCTAAGAGCTGGACATCGAAAGAAATTGTTCAACGTCTCAATAGAGATATGGACCTGCAGCTTAATATTTATATGGATTGCCTAGACACGGATATATGGGTTGATCAGGAAATAGTATCAAACTTGCAACTAAATTCACTGAATGCACAACCCAAATTAATGGGAAGATTCAGCGAAAAGGCTTTAATAATTGCCTGCTTAAAGGAAGCCACAGGAAATCGAACCCTAAACGGATTAAAAGAACTTCTTTGGGGACTTCAAAATTTGCCTATATTGTATATCCTGAACTCTGAAATGGATTTGTACTTTGAGCAAGCCTTACAGAAGGGATTTCTTCATGTGCTGGCCTTGAATTTAATAAATGGATCGCTTTACACCTATGAACCTTATCCGAAAATACAAATTCATCAATTGAAAGAAATAGAAAAATTCTATAATTTAACTAGACTAAAAAATCTACAAGGAATCGCAGTGAATATAACCGGCGAGACAATGACACCGCGTTGTTTTCACTACAACAATCGTCAGGGAAAAAAGGTTTACGCTGGTTACATGTACAAGTTATTGAAGGAATTTATCAATAATTATAATGGCACTGAGAGAATGGCCTATGCCAATGAGGAGACCATTGACTATGAGGAACTGAAAACTGAATTGCTAATGGGACACATTGATATGATGCCCAGGATTATACACATTTTGAATTGGCAATATTTCTACCGCAGTTATATTTTATATAATATCAAAACCCATATAATTGTTCCCTGGGCTGAGCCCTTGTCCAAGAGCCTGTATTTTCTGAAACCCTTTGTCTGGACAGCCTGGATTACTATAATGGCCAGTTTGATTTACGCCGCGATTATGATTTGGAGACTTAAACATCGGCAGAAGGATGCTTCTACTTTATCAGCCTGCGTTTTGGATGTTTTACAATGGTTTTTTTCGCTACCAGTAAGCCATAATTGGCACTATAAACTGGGCCTGCATCGGGTTTTAGCTTTCCTGGTGCTCTTCACAGTGGGTTTTATTTTAACTAATTTGTATTTAGCTCAATTATCAAGTTTCCTGACCACTGGCTTGTTTAAGAAACAACTGAATAGCTTTCAGGATCTATTTCGTGAGAATCGTACACTTATACTCGAAAGTTTTGACAGGGAAGTCCTGCATAATTTGACCAGGGATGGTCTTATTCAACCGGAATTTGAAAATATTGTTTTGACTGTCTCAATAGCTGAGGTTTTTTCTCATCGAAAAAGTTTGAATACCACCTATGTCTATACGGCCTATGAGGATCGCATTGAGTATGAGTTGTACCAGCAGAAATACCTTCGAGTGCCTATATTTAAGAAACTCGATGATATCTACGACCAGAGGCCGGTCTTTGTGGCCCTTCGTCATGGTTTGCCATATGTGGAGTTATTTAATGATTATCTTAAGCGAATCTGGGAGTCGGGCATTCTGTTAAAATTCCAGAGCGATACCTTAAACGAGGGCATATCCAGCGGTGAGATAAGCTTTCGTCACTCCAAGTCTCGTGAGATTCATGTATTCGACATGGAGTTTTATTACTTTGCCTATATTTTATTGAGCATTGGATGGTCCATCAGCATTTTTGTGTTTTTGGTGGAGAAAAGGGGATTTATTTTTGGGAATAAAATTTAAGAAAAGAGTTTTAGAGTATTGGAAAAAATTATATTTAAGAAGAAGTGGTTATAAAATATATTGAATGTTTTTAAAACAATTTTAAAATTATTTAAAATTTAAAATATTTATTTATAATATTTTTAATTATTAAAAAAATATTTTATTGGTGTTTAAAAATCATATTCTTAACTTAGAGATAATAAGACCATTTAATATCACTGAAAACATGTTGAAATAAATGTTTCTGCACCTTTATGAATGTAAATTATAAATTATTTAAACTTAAAAAAAATACACCTTTAAATATACAAAAATAAATAATCAAAGAATTTTACTACGATTTTTTTTTTTTTTTAATTTTGTATATGTTACAATGAAAATGTCTTATTTTATTTTTATTCTATAAAAAATAAATTTCGACAGGATAAATATTTTAAAGGATCTACTTATACAAATTTACATTAAAAATCCTTCGAAAAGGATTACTAATAACCAATCTTCTAATTCCCCTAATAAATACCATTTGAATATTACAGAATTTGCAAATCATCAACGAAATTAAACCTCAATAGATTATTTACTACTCCAAAAAAACCACGTACCATTTAGTTAGGCAACTTACAATATACAAAAACCATTTAAATGCCTTACAATTGGTGTAATCCCCAACAAATGCTCGTTTAACAACCTGCCATGAAGTAATTATATTCCATTAATTATAATTGGTGCGTTGCCATTATGCGGTAAATTAAGAAAGTGTCACAAAATGATTATATATTATGGCTTTAATAGCATAATGATACCATTTAGGGGGCTGTCTCTGGGCAGTGCCTATAAAAGCAGCTCGAAGCAGACGAGTTCAGAGTCGCTTCAATGGATTTGCTACTGCTCAACACGCTTCAGAACCTCACGCTGACCGAGGGAAACCGTTTGGGGCAGACGATTCGGGAGCTAAATACTTTATATCAAACGGAACTCAATGTGTTTGTGGAGTTTGGCCAGGGTTCTGATATACTGGAAGCAGCCAGGCAGCCTTTTAAGCCTAGTTTATGGCTGGGAAATACGGAAATCCAGATGGTTTTGGAAGGAAACTTTAGTAGCTGTACGCTAACTATACTTTATGTGGAGGAAACTGAACTGAAAAGAGGTCTTGACTATCTCATCAAGTGGTTGTGGAAGTATCAACATCTTCATGTTTTAATATATTACAAAGATGGAACTGCTAACAAGTTGCATAAAATATTTAAACATTGTTTTGAAGAAGGTTTTACATAGGTAATGGTTATATTACCAGATTCACAAGGACTCTACAGCTTTATGCCCTATGAGAATCTCAAAATCTTGCATTTAAAAAGTGTACAAGAGTATTATAATCTCTCAAAATTAAAATGGAACTTTAATGGTTACAACATAACCAGTGGCCTGGTGACGGCAGGAGCTCCCCGTTGGTTCTCCTTTCGAGATCGTAACAATAAATTGATACTAACTGGCTATATGCTCAGTATGATAATGGATTTTACCAAATTTTACAATGGATCCTTACGCTTTCGAGATGTGTTAACAGTCCAGGATGGTCTCCAATTTCTAGCCAATCGAACTATTGATTTTTTTCCATTCCTAATCAGACCTCTGGAAAGTTTTGCCATGACCAACATATTATATTTGGAAAACTGTGGCCTTATAGTGCCCTCATCAAGACGAGTGCCCAACTTTCTATACCTCAGCCGACCTTATACTTTTAGCACTTGGATAACCTGGTTAATAATGATTGTATACTGCTCTCTGGCCTTGAGGATTTTAACAGGAGGAAAGCTAAGTCTCAGTGGAGCCTTTCTGCACATCCTACGCCTTGTTTTATATCTCTCAGGTAGCAAGCATATCGGAACTATATCATCGCATCATCGCTTTCTTCTCTTTATAATACTAACAACTTCTGGATTTATATTCACCAATCTGTACTTGGCGCAACTTTCTAGTAACTTGGCCACAGGACTCTACGAAAAGCAGATAAATTCCTGGCAGGATCTCGATGAAACCGATGGCATTTGGCCCTTGATTGATGTTGATGTCACAACGATGCAGAAATTAATTCCTGATCGCAAGAAACTAGTGTCACGCATAGTCACTACATCAGAGCAAAATGTGGATGTATTTCGGAGGAATTTAAATACAAGTTGCATTCACTCGGGCTTCTTTGATCGCCTTGAGTTTGCTCTTTACCAGCAGCAATTCCTGAGGTTTCCTATTTTCCGGAAATTTCCCCATATTCTGTACCAGCAGCCCTTTCAGATTTCCACACCCTTTGGACGTCCTTATCTGCAGCTCTTTAATTGGTTTTCTCGCAGAATTTTCGAAAGTGGAATTTTTTGGAAAATGAAAGAAGATGCCTATTGGCATGGCATACAGAGTGGTCTCTTGAGTTTTGATTTTCAGGATAAATATTTAAAAGTTAAATCTAATAATTTGGAGTATTATTATTTGATTGCGGGATTGTGGTTGGGTGGTTTGATTTTGGGTTTTATATCGTTTTTTATGGAGTTAGTGGTTGCAAGAACTAGAATAAAGATTAAGGTAGATTTTAAGGTGTTAAAAGAATAATAAAATAATTAGGAAAATAAACGAAAAGTACACATGCCACTAATTTTATGTATTCAATGAAATTGTAACTACAAAGTTCCTTAGTAAATAAATAGCCACAACATTTCTTAACTCCCCATCAATGTCCACATTTCTGGTGTCATATTTTTCTCCTCAGCGGGACTCTTAAATAATTTTGTTAGCCACCACAGAAGAGATTTTCTTCCATAACTCTTCCAGCCCAAAACTGTAATTACAGCGAAAATACGCTAAAGTATTTGGCTGGAACGGTGACACGCCTCCTTTGCCAGCCGGCCTCTCATTTGCATTTGCAGTCCCCGTTGGGTGCACTTGTCGTGCCTAGAAAATCCACTGGACAACCTGCAACTCACTAGCTGCAACGTGCAACCTGCAACTGGCACTGGCAACGGGCCAAAGCTGCCACTGCCTCCGAAGGTGTCTTCGATTATTGCCAAACATTAATTATTTGCGCGCGATTTGGCGCCCGCCTCTTTTTTTTTTTTTTTTGTGAAAGGCCTGGGCTAGTAGTTCAAATGTTTATTTTTCTGCTCTCGCTGATGTATCTTTGATTGCCGGCTACACAGGGGGAAATAAAGTGTCAAAAATAAATATTTTATTTGGGAAAATTATTTGAATTGTAAGATGATTCAATAAATATTTAAAAAATATTACTTTGCAGAGGAAATATAATATGTTTACATTGAAAAATATTATATTTAAATTAGTCATATATATTTTTTATATTAAGAAATATTTTTCTGATGAAACTTATTAAAATTGGATTTCTCTATAAATTAAAATATATTTAAATTATATTTTATATATTTTTTTAAATAAATAATTGTATTGCTAAATATTTAAGGTGAAATAATTTTATTCTGAACTTGTTTAGTAGTACTTTTATTAATTTTGCTCAATTAAATTTATTAATTTTAATTTCATTTAATTTTTTATATATAACATATATATTATTTATAGAATTTTGTTTCTGTGTAAAATCAAATAAACACAGGCTTCCAATTTTTTTTCTTTGCGCAATGAATGTGAGACGAGGGACGGTCCAGGTCGGGTCTCCGCCATCCTCCAATTCTCCAGTCTGGCTTATTTATTTTTGGCCGAAAATTGCACATTTTCCCATGCTGCTGCCGGTTGTTGTTGTTGTTAATGTTAGTGGATGTAGCCAGTTGTTGCTGGCCATTTGCTGTTGTTGTTGTCGCGTCTAATCAAGGAGCGGAGTTAAGAGTCACTGCTGCCTTTGGTCGCCCCATTGCCATTTAGCCCGAAGCGGCTGCCTCAGCCAAAACGATGAATATTGATTTAATTGAAAGTCATTGAGAGCCGCACACGTACTTCATAGACACGAGTTGTGATACCCTGGGATTTAGTATAGGTAGGGTATTATAATTAAATAATTATTTTAATTTATATTGGTTACATTTAAGAAGTAATTGTGGTAGGAAAATCTATGAAATAATAGAATATTTTCCTTAAAAACTCTTTTTTGAATGTATAAAAACTATACTTAATGTTTTAAAAATATTAAAAAAAAAATTATGTCAAACAGACTAGTTTTTTTACATTTTTTTTATCAAATAAAAAAAGTTTGGTACGATATCGATTAAGTTTTTAAATAGTTAAAACTTCCAATGATTAAAATAAATATTTTTAAAATATTGAAAATATTTTTAAAATATTTTTGAAATATTTAAAATATTTTGGAAATATTTAAAATATTTTTTAAACTGTAGCCAAATTGTACTACTTGAGAAAAAGCTTTCTAACATATTTCATTTAAAATATGGCTTTGTTTTTCATAAGAATATTTCACAAAACCTGTATAAATATTTAACAAATTTGCACTTTATATTATTATTATTTTTTTAATATTTCAATGACATAGGGTATTTTTATCTTCGATTCCCCTAAATCCTTTAGTTTCTCCAACTCTCCATTTGGCGTGGCATCGAACCGACCGCCGATCGCAGCTTGTGCCCTCCCACATGCCAACATCTTCAGACACACACACTCCAAACACACACACACACACCACTCTCGCACACCCAACTGTTTGGAGTGGAGAACCGCCGACGCCCCGACCAAAGTTTTCCCTGTATTTTTTTTTTCTGTGGCACATTGACACAGTTTTCCATGGCAGATGTGCCCAAGAGCCCTGCTCCCCTTTACCCCGGCTGTATTGGAATTTTGTCGACTTGTTTCTTTTCTTTTTTTTTCTTATTTTTATTTCTTTTATGTATTGGCATCTCTGGCGTTGCCGGCAAATGTCAAAAGGTTAATACGTGAATTAACAGCAAATTTCTTTGACTTGTGTGTGACTGCAGGCTGCTTGTTTGGGGCTGAAGCTGAACAGATAGAGAAATGTTTGTGTATTTAAATAAAATTCTTTTGAAGAAAAAGTAAAATTAAATGATATTTTATAAAAGGAATTAAAGTATTTCTAAAGAATAATTTTCAAAATATATAAATTGATTTATTATTCAATAAAAACATTTTTTAAAACATTAATATCATACCTTAAATTCCAAAAAATACTTGAGCCTTCAATATATTTATTGTTTAGTTTTCTACTAAGAATACTTGTCTTATTAAATGATGTATTTCTTCCTAGCTCTTTTAAAATATTCCTTAATTTTATACATTTTTTCTTCAAGTGCCTTTCCTAGAAAAGGTATTGCTAGTTGCTAGTATTTTTCCTGCAGCTGCTGCCTGGCGCTTTCCTTGGAATGCGGGCGTTGCTTCGTCTTGTTTATTTTCTTTTTTCGGCAGCATCGCCACCGCCGCCGCTTTTCTTCGTGGGTTTCCCCTTAATGCATTTTTTGGGACACACACACAGCATGGGGCCATCCGAGGGATTTACAACATATTACATTAAAATGCTTCTCTTTCGTGTCCATTATTCTTTTAAAGCCTCTCGGTTTCTATGCTAATAAATCAATGGAAGTTTTTAGTCTGGGCAAATTCCGAACATTTTCCCAGGCTTCAAGTTAAGTGCGGGATTAATGAAAAGCAAATCCCCCTCCAAAAAATGTTGTAAAGTTTCCCCACATGAGAGTATTCGGGCATGTTTATAAAGGGGAAATTCCTTGGTGGAATTGGTAGCTTAGGTTTTTAATAACATAAATGAAGGAGGAGACTTTTGAAAACTACAAATTCTATATGATTTGTGGGTGTTTTCTGCGATTTAAATTATTTATTTCTTTTTTGATGTAACTAGAGTGAGTCTTATATTTAAATTTTAACATTTTTAATTAATTTTTGAATTTTAAAAGTATTTTTAAAATGTTTTTAAAATGCCAAATTTATTTTTAGGACTTTTCCATTCCATAAAAATATTTGTATAATATTTTAAATTTATTATACATTTAAATAAATTATAAAACACACTTAAATATTAAGTTAAAATGAATTTTAAATTATTTTTTTAACGTAAAGTATGATCCTTGCAAGTCCTTTTTAAATTTTAAAAGCTTTAAGCTTTAAATATCCTTTCAATATTTATTTCACAACCGCATCTGTATAACTGTTATCCTTGCAGCTAGCTCAGACATGAACCCACAGACCCTTACAGATATCCTTGTCAAGTGCCACATATGCCAGCCAGAAGGCGCCACCAAACCGCACTTAAATTGAACAAATTTTTTCAATTACTTACGAGAAAAAATTCCATTTGGCACGCTCGATTGCCATTTGCCTTTGCCAGATGCCATGAGTAACCCACATAGATGGCGATTAAACGGACACTGGGATAGATATACGAAATAGAGTCGTATGTCTATGCAAATTATTTGCGCAGTGGCAAGTGCATAATTTTTATTATTATTATTTCTCAGGCGCTAGTGCCCCGCCAATCTAGAGTAGATCAAAAAGCGCAAAAAGCCTACGGAGAGCCGACCCACTTGGTGGCTGCCCACTTGGGTTTCTTTTCGTTCGTTTTTTTTTTATAGTTTTTTTTTTCACTCGAAAATATTCATTTCAATTCATTAGCCAAGCTCTGGCAGTGATTAAATCGGCCAGCTTACACTATATCTATATTATATTTGCACAGACATAGACATAGATATTTATATTTATATTTTTAATGGTGCCTGGCCGCATAATCCACTGACAATTTATTGGCATTTTCATGTAAATTATGCTTTTTCAATAAAAAATAAAAACACACACATCATGAAGAGTGCCAGAGCGACTTTATCTATATCTCGTGTGAAAAGTGGTTCAATCGAGATAACTTCATCTCGGCACTAGAGTCTTTCGGTTTTTTTCTTAGCATTTTAATTGATTCTTAATGGAAAAATGTCCCTTATCTCGATGGTAAATTTATGAAATGTTAATTACAAATCGGCATCGGTTATTTGATTCCCATTACTTTGGTTAGTTTATTATTTTATTGTTGCGAAAACTGTCAAAAGATTTAAGAATTTTCATGTACGTAACATATATGATTTGATATTAATGGTTCGATAAATGAAAATAATCACAGCAGGGAACTGAAATCGCAAAGAATTGCAATTAAAATCAGAGATCGTAAACTGAAACCAATCTTATGTGCTGTAAATTGCTTTTGAGTTATTGCTAAATTTGCATAGCCTTGGGCTAACTCTATTGATTTAGATTAATTGTCCAAGTCTGATATCAGATATTGGTTAATTATACCAGGTAATCAAACATTACTAAGGTGTTATAAGTTAATGTCAAGTAATTACGATTGTAACACCAGGTAATATGATTACAGAGACTATTAGAGAGCAGTTTATATTTAAATATGTTTTCTATAAATTTTTGTACAATTTTTATGTACAATTGGTTGATAAACATGGAAGTTCTTTGTGATTTAATCTTTCTATCTCGCTCGCACTTCCCCCAGATGCTTAGTGGTGTTTCAAACCATAGGTGATAGGGTAAACTGGGTTTAAGGGGGGGGTAAGGTTAATTCGGTGCAAAAATGCCCACTTTTCAAAAAAATGTTGTGGCGAAACGGTTAA